CCTGGGGAACACCAGATAACACGTGTTTCACCTCAGACCATTGTCCTTCTACACAAACCCTCATGGTTCTGTCTGTCAGAAAGTCTTTTATAACATCTAAAACTTTTCCCTTGACCCCAAACCCCTCCAATTTAGATAGAAGTCTAAAGTGGGGGACTGTGTCAAAAGCTTTACTAAAATCAAAATACAAAAGATCGACAGGAGCACCTTCGTCTAAAATATCAAGAATATTATCAAATGTCTCTAAGAGATTAGAAAGACAAGATTTACCCTTCACAAATCCATGCTGATGCTTTGAAATTCGTTCTTCTAAAAATGTTAATAAATGTGCCCTCACCAACTTTTCATACACTTTGCACAAAATACAAGTTAATGAGACAGGTCTATAATTTAAGGGATCAGATTTAACACCCTTTTTGAACAATGCTACAACAGATGCTGTCTTCCAAATGTCAGGCAGGACTCCTGTTTCTGAACACTTAACAAATAATTCAGTTACAGCTTCAACAAACTTTTCATCGTATGCTAAGGATTTCAACAACTTTGGATGAACGCCATCCGGACCAGAACTCTTAAAAACATTAAGCTTTAAAAGCTGCTTCTTGATATCAGAACTGCTAATTTCCATATCATCAATAACCTCTCTGTTATAACTCTCATTTTGGGGAAGAGGGCCAGGTGGTTCACGCACAAACACAGAACTAAAGGCACTAGCAAGTACCTCAGCAGACTCAGATGAACTATCTGTGCGTGTACCATCTCCTCTATCTAAAGAAACAACACTTGATTTGACTTGACGTTTATTACGCAAATACGAGTAAAAAGATTTGCAATTCTGTTTTAAATTAGACGTAATCTTCTTTTCATAATTTACTTTAGCTTTAATTTCTGCCACCTCAAAAATATGCTGCTTGCTATTTGCACAGCTAAAGTTAATATCCGAAGGATTAATATCAAATTCAGCCCATGCTTTATCTTTGTTCTTCCTCATTCTTTTAAGTGAAGTTGTACTCCATGGAAATACTTCAAGAAATACTGCGAGGCAATCTACAACAACAGCGGTATAAACATGTTTTGGAGCATAGATTCCTCAAGTGAATTCCTTGAAGCTATCAAAAATAGCGATGTTTATAATATACAAGTATATGATTTTACTACTCTTTATACCAGATTAGACTTGATTGAAGTAGAGAATATGATTAATGAAGTTGTTGATTTAATATTTTCAGACCGTAATAGATATATTTGTATTTCTAAAAGAGACAGTAATACATGTTTCTTTTCCAATAAAACCTATGATTCTCATGCCTGCTTTAGTCAAGATGACCTAAAAGAGGCTGTTAAATTTATTATTTATAACACTTATGTCGTCTTCGGTGGGATTGTATTCATACAAACCAAGGGTATTCCTATGGGTGGAAATTCAAGTTCCCCTATAGCTGATCTCACTGTTGGCAAAAAGGAATTTAATTATATGAAACGTTTACTTCAGGAAAAGAAAATGGGATTAGCAAAGATATTATCCAATAATAAACGATATGTTGACGATTTATCTATTATTAACTACCTTTACTTTCATAAATTGATTAAAGATATTTATCCTAATTCATTGGAGATGGAGCGAGCTGGTTCCAATAATAAAATCATTAACTACCTTGATTTAAATATTAATATTTCCACAGAAGGACTAGAAATATCAGTGTATAACAAAACTGATGATTTTAATTTTCATGTTGTATCCCTTACATTTCCTCACAGTAACATCCCAACCGAGGTTGGCTACAACGTTTTTTCAAGTCAAGTTCTTAGATATGGTAATGTTTGCACTAGATTGGATATCTTTACCTCCCATCTTCACAAAATATTCAAAATTCTAATTGATAGAGGATATAGCCGTGATAGACTGATTAAAGGCATTAAACGTTGTCTGAGGAAATATGATAACGTTTTCAGGAAGTTCGGTATTCTAGATGACCGTAACATTATTAAAGAACTCCCCTGATATCTTTTGATTTATTGAAACACGGGTACTAACTCTGCTAAACTGAACAAATTCTGAAACTTAGGTGAATAAGTGTACAACGTGCTAAACCGAAGTTCAGACTGACCAGTGAAAATGGGCGAGCGTACCAAGTGTCATTTTAATTAGAAGTTTTAGTCAGTGATTTATTATTGTAGCTTGTAATTACAATATCTAATGCTCCTATGAATACTTTAATTAATTGTTTGTCTCGTTATTCTTTTTCCTTCCTCTTTTCCTTGTCATCCCCTTTACTTTTAAGATTCTTGCTATAAATGGCTACAGCTAACACTATTAATGCTAAGTACCAAACAACAAGTGGGAGGTGGATCGTTGGTACCATTAAATCGATTTAACACCGCAATTCCAGTCGCAAGCCTGGGACCACTACTAGCATAGTCACAACATCTACAAAGCTGCCATATAGCCTGACTGACAATTTTCTCGACTGACTGACAATGTTTCTTCTTTTTCCCCATTTAGAATACAAAGATTAGTACATTTTAGCTTATGATTAATATTATATTTTTACCTATAGTTTACCTAGATGGCAACTTGACAGGTCTGTTGTCGAGATAAACCGAAGCAGCTGGGACAGCTGCAGCAACAGACTCCAATTTACCATGTAATTCAACCCACATATCTTGAACATTATTTGTACAACTATAATCCCATTCAATATTATTCTTACTAAAGTTAAATAACTCTTCTGAAGAAATCTTGCCCCAAATAGGCTTTAAAATCTTTTGTTTGGGACTTTTGTTAGTATTGGGCGAAACAACCAGTTCGACAAGTATCCCAACATGATCACTTTTGCCAAGCGGAGAAACGATCTTACAACCGTTGACAAGAGCATCATTTGTATACAAAACCTGATCAAGAAGACTCTCCTGGAGAGTATCTTTCACAAGCCGTCTTCTGGTTGTTTCGTTAGTAAAGTACCACGTCAAACCACTGTCATTAAATAAATCAATATACTTTTGTTGAATCATTAAAACCTGATTCTTACTAGAAATACCACTATTTACACTACCAGTTTCCCAAGATACATTAGGTAGGTTAAAATCTCCTATGATAATGGTTTCAAAAACATTCTTTTCACTAGATATGTTCTTGATGCAAGATAATAACATATTATTCTGTTTTAAATTCAAAGAAGTAGACCTATAAATACAACAAATACTAATCAATCCACCAGAGGTATTGACATTAATAGCTAAAGAGTCTGGTGCTTTTAAAAATGAGCTCACTAATGAAGCATTACAACTGTTTTTAATATAAATAATAGAACCTCCACCTCCACTTATGTTGCTAGTGGAATTATCGATTTTAAAATCTCTGTCTTTTCTAAACATACTAAAACCTTCAATAAAAATTTCAGCATCTAAAATATCACTATTAAAATGAGTTTCTGTAATGCAGATTACATGAATGGATTTATAAACTGATAGAATACATTTTAGTTCATCAATTTTATTAAATAGTCCATTAGCATTAGTATAAAATATATTCATGGGCTGACTACATTCTTTGTTACTGCTATTTACTTCTTCTCCACCTTCTTCTCTGTCTTTTCCTTCTCTGCTTCTTCCCGCCTCTTCTTCCTCTCTTCTCTGGCTAAAAAACGGATCTCTCGGTCTGCTCTGCAGAGATCCAGATTTATCCAGTATGATGACTCTTTCCAGCCCTTGCCATGGTTGGAATAATAGTTAACTGACTCCTCGTCAGCTGTCTGGATGATCAATGGCCGACAGGAGTCTGGCTTACCTGGATCCACTTTACCTGCACGATGGCAACTGATAAAGTCACTTTTTTCAATCTTTAGTGTCTCCTTGCAGAACTTCGAGTCCTCTTCCTGGCGTAGCTTGGAGTTAGTTTTCTTGCTCTCTGGTACATTCAAAACACACAGATTGAGCTTTCTTAAATTTCGCTCATATGCATCAGTGTGCATCTTTGACTGAACTTTACTGACAACACTTTGAGAAGCTTGCTGTAGGCTCATTTCTTCAATAACTTTCTTCTGACTATTTGCAGTAACATCTGCCCAGGTTTGGAAAGCCTGGTTCACAATTTTTGTGATTTCTTTTGGTTTTTCAGATGAATCATTAGAAAAACTGGTATGACTCACAGAATCTTCGACAATTCCTCTAATACACGGAGTAAGGGCACCAAGTTCTTCTCTAATAACATTCCGTAGGGTCTTGGTTTCTTCACTGTCATACCAGAAAGAATTATATCAATTGGGCACTCAGTGACTGAGCTATTAAGGCCAACGTATGCCCACTGACTTTTGGCCCACCCTGTATAAACTAAGCAGTGTCCAAGAAACATTAATTATTTCATGACTCAGAGAGGCACAATGTCGCATGTTGGCGACAGGCAACGTTATGCCACTGCACAGTGTTTAAAACCTACAATTTTCGATAAGTTATAACTCTGCTTTTGGATCACAACCAATGATTTACAAAATTTAAAATTCAGTGTTAAGAGAAAATTCTGAACTTTCCTTGGACTTCAGAAATTGTGGTCATTCGTGCTTCAGAAGAGACCATGGAGGTCCATAATTATCAATTAAGGGGTTTGATCACGACATTGATGATGTCTAAGGAAGAAGTTCAAGGTGCCCATGTTTTAATAGCAAGTGACGAATGTTTCTCAGTTGATTTAATAAATACCGTCAGAATTGGCAATCTACAGCCAGAGATATTTTAAGTTTACTATGCTAAGTTGGATATTGTGAACACTTTCCTGTTTTTCAGTCGTTCCTGTGTTAGAGGTGTCACATCGTCACAATACTTACTATAGATACGTTAAAGGGTCTCGGCCTTGTGCTAATCAAATTTTCCAGACTCGTAATGACATTCACTGCTAACAATATCGCTAAAATGGAACCCACTGTACATTTTTAGCTCACCATTTTTCTCTGCTTGCTAAACTTTCTGCGTTAAATGTTAATCGTTTTTAACAAACTTCAAGCTTTAGGTTTATGGAAGGGCCTCTCTCAAAATGGACAAACATGATGAAAGGATGGCAGCTAAGATTTTTTGTCTTAGATGAGCACACCCTATGCCTTAATTATTACACCAGTAAGGAGAAAGTCAGGAAAGATATCAAGCGTGGCAAAATCTTCTTAAAGGGTGCAATTATTGGTTAGTATTTGATGTTGCCAGTATTTTTCTATAATGTGCCACAAAACATGTGCAGTATATCTGTTTATCTAGAGCTGATTTCTATTGCAGGTTCAACCTTTGCTTTACGTATAAAAAAGGAACATTGTAGTATTTTAAAAACGGAACTCAAATTTCTTATCAACTAAGCAATAAGTTAATTATAACTTACACGAACTTCCACAGGTATTGACGATACAGATGACAGCACATTTACAATAAGTGTAGAAGGGAAAACGTTCCACTTCAGAGCTGCTGACGCTGATGACCGGGACAGGTGGGCCCGGTCACTCGAGGAAACAATATACCGTCCCCCTGCTTTAAACAACTCTGAAAAGTATTTTAAATTTCTTTACTTTCTTAAGCTAGAATGTTATGCATATTACAGAAAATGTTAGATATTTTTGTAGGTAAAGCTCCTAATTATAGTATTATATACTCATGTTGTACAGCTATGTTAGATCATAGATCGCTTGGCAGGTTTTTAAGTTAGATGTAATGATAATCATTTAGATAATCGAGTTCAAGATTTCTTTGAACTAACATTAGTGTTACTTTCAGTGCATCTCGTCACAATATAAACGACTTGCAGCGGAAGTTGGCAGAGGTCAACGGATACCTCAGTTTACTCGAAGATACCATGTCTGGGATGGTGCAACAGGTTTATTTTACAGAGCTTCATTAATGTTAGTTTGCAACCTCCTAAAATTGTCATGTGTTAAATGTGTACAGCTTACTACAGCTCAACCTGCTCAGTCTGACTATTTGGGAATTTAAACTCTTGTGTTAAATGTGTATACTGTATAGCAATTACAGTAAGGGAGGCAACGCCCAAACTCTGCTTGTTTTGTGGATACCAGAAAAGGAGCCTTTGATAAAATAAACATTAAACTAAATAAATTGAACTGATGTCTCTTAATTAAATCTGTAAATTAATTGATTAATCTGTAAATTAATTAAATCTGTAAATTAATCAAATCTGTAAATGACCCTGTGTTTACATCAGGTTAGTTTGGAGTTGGATCCTTCTGATTCCGCCCAATTGGAAATCTGCAACAACGCCATGATATCCTCTCTACATGACTGTGTTGGGGAGATGAACAAGTTGGAATTCTCTGCAGGTGAGACATTTTGTTTTCGGTTATTAAAGATTGCTGTTTCTGTGTTGTAGTTGTTGTTCAGTCTGGGCAAATCTTATGATTCTTATCTATTTTTTTCAAATGTGCGAGTTATAAAATTAATATTCAATGAGCTGTTTCTCTTTTGATGGAAAAAATTTTTACCCATTGGCAATATTTTCGAGAACACAATGAATATACATTCAATCGTGGAAATGGCTGTGATATCCCAGTATAAGTTTAAGTAGATACCACAAATTGATATTGTAAAAGAAAGCCCATCTGTACCAAAAGCCCATGATCTGTACCAAGACCATATCTGTTATCTAACGCCCATTCATGTTAACCCACCCATTGCATTCGTGTTGAATGTTAAGAAATTCCCTTGACACTTCTAGTTACACATAATATCTCCAAGCTGACTTCAAGAGGTGTGTAATTTCTAGACATGGACAATGACCAACAAAACTCCTTAGTATTACACGTAACATACACCAGCAGAGTGTACAGCATACATGTTCAGGAGGAACTGTATGTGAATGTTACTCAATACTCAGTTGATGAGAATAAATTTTGATGTTGTGTAACGTGTGACGTCAAAACTGGAACATTATTCAGTGCACTACTTTCTGTGTACTATACTACTTGTGTTACAGCGAATTAACGGGTGTAACACAGCGTTACACTAGCTGATACGAGCGTTACATCTTGGAGGCAGACAGATCCATGAAGATGACGGAACGCGTCTATTCTGATCTTTGTCACTTGTGTCGTCTATCTGCTTTGTCTAGCTGTTGCCTGTTAGTGTTTGGACTGTCACGTGTCATCTCTTGGACATAGTTCACATTGCTCACTGAAAGGTAGTGTTACTTGTAGAAGCTGACTTGGCTTGGTATAGCATCTGGCTCCACTTCTGTAAATCTTTGTAACGTATAACGTACAATTATCGAGTTACATTAATTGTTCGCGCTCACTATATTGGGATGATTGGTAGCTTATTCAGGTGATTGTTTTTTGAAACATACTGCTCTGTAAACTTATTGAACAAACAAAAATGTTGTTTACTTACGATGTCTGGCGCACTAGAATTGTTTGCTTAGTCCAACTTGCCGTACAAGCTATAGATTGAAATAATGATCAACAGTGCAAAATCCTTACTTTGTTTGCTTTGTGTGTCAAGACAATATTTCTCCCTGTCTATTTTTCACCATTTCCATATTTTCAGGAGACTATTCATTTATCAATACCACACATTTGTCATTTACTTTATTTTTAGACGAACGTTAAACACTTTCAATGTAGACTCTATCTTTTAAGAAGACAGAACTTCAGTTACTCGTCCAGTTTAGAGTCTGAACATTCATCTGCAGCTACAAAGAGGGTTGATAATCTTGTAACTATTCTGCATTGTAATGGGTTGAGTGCAGACTACAGAGATTAGTACATTAGCGTTACAGTCATGTTAATGTTTGTTTTAATTAACAGGCATGTCAACATTGGACAATGTTATCGGTTTAACCCCTAATCTTGTGTAATTAACTAGCTATTGTATCCAACTAAATTCAAAAGTAAGATTCGTGACAGCTCTGTGAAAAATGTTACGGTCTACAGTCTGTAATTACCACAGCTATATCGTAAATTTTAATGTTAACTAATGCAAATGGTATGTACGGTATGTTCAGAACACGCGATTCGTTATTTTGATAGCTCAAATGCTCTGGTTCCAAATGTTACATCATGTGCTTTCATAGTTTAATCTTACATTATTGTGTGAAAAATTTGTCAAAATATCAATAAAATAGGTCCCAGGATGTGATGCCTATCAAAATAGGCTATTTGTTATTTTCGGGTTAAATTATAACATCTTGACATAAATTGTTCCATTATCATCAGGTAGGTTCAATTAATGAATAGTGAAAGGAAAAAATTAACTGATGTATCCATATCCTCACGAGAATTTGCAGAAACTGACGATTTTCCAACCACTTCCAAATTCACCTAATTTTCTTAATAATGTCACTCGTACGATATTTTCTTCTAGCTCTGGAAATTAATACGGCCAGCGTTGAGGCAATACTCGGCGTTTGCATTTTTAAAACAACATTTTTAGCTTCCGTTCCAGAATGATTAGAATCGCAGTTCTTATAGTTATCTAATCAAAGCGTATTCGACTAATCCTTCAAAGCCGTCAGAATTACCTTAATACACGCTCCTAGTTGATACGATTCTACAAGCTCAACAGCATTACAGCTGCCTGCTCTAATCTCTAACAGTCTGGTAGGGGACCCCCCACTTAGTTCATTAGCTTTATCAAGTAGCAAGGGTAGTTGGCACACAGCCAACATCTAGTGCGCTATACAGTGCGTTATACAGTGCGTTATACAGTGCGTTATACAGTGCATTATATAGTCATATAGTGTCAACTACCGTATAATTACGATATTGGAATGTTGGATTATATCGTGTATACACACGGAGTCATGAACCATACACAGCTATAGTTATAGTGCTATACAGGGGTTATGAAGTGTACACTGATAGTAGAACACGTACATGTGAGTTATTGTGTATATTTAGTGTATATTTAGTCGAGTTTATTTTGATTTGGTGAGATCAGTCAGATTGGCTGCTGTTGGATGGCTTGATCACGTGACATTGATAGTAACCTCTGATTGGCTGCAGCTGGAACGTGATCACATTGTTTGGGTTACAATGTGTAACGAAAACAGGCGTTTTGTTCCCTTGCCAAGAAGATCTAGCTAGGGTTGTTTTAGATCAGTGGGCTATGTAATGATATGCTATATAGCAGTGTGTTTTATTACTTAGCGTTATAAGTGCTACCATATTTGATGCACTTATTATGACATATTATTCCCCGCATTGTACATATTTTCGAGAGCTGCTTTATACACTGTTAATGTTATACACTTCGTCTTATGTTTTCTACGAGTTGGTACATTTTTGTAGATTTCGTTTTCTGGTTGTAGCATTTATTTTGTTATATACGTTTTTATATACGTTTTTATATACGTTTTTATAGTGATAATCATACCTTTTAAAGTAAATGTTTGCATTGTTTCCTGATCATTTTCTTCTCTCTTGAAGCTGAATGAGACTCATTTCGTTCTGAGTTTTTTTGTATTTCATTCATCATGATCCTATCTAGATATACATTATTATTTCGACACACAATAAATTAGTACTATCTCGAGAAACTTTACACCATCCCAATATCGACACACCTCTAATCAGAGCCATATCATGTGGGAATATGTTAGTTAACATAGCCAGTGCATATATATATAATATTGTATATATTATATAACATAGCCTGTGTATTTAGTATATACGGGCGTTCTAACGACGGTTAAACTTTCAGTACCAACTCCTCAAGGCTCAAGAATGCAATGCGGCCTGTATATTGGCGTTTAAATGTATTAAACTATACGTTCACTGTGCCGTGTGTACGCGCTCTTCTTTTGCTTATCAAATAGTATTATGGTAGTTTTAAAATGCCTCCAGTGCGGTGCTTTAGATGTTTTGGTTGTAGCATAGGTACTCCTTCAAAACTGTTTTTATTTATGCTTGCAGGTTGCTTTAATTTCTTCAGTTAAAATTGTTGTTTGAAAAATAAATTACTCCGTTAATTTTTGAAAAGGAGTGTTATTGTTGTAAGTTCTATCTCATTATATCATGAGCACATCACTTTATGTGTTGTAATTCATGAAGCTGTGAGCTGTCTCAGTTAAGGGCATAGTCTCATCACACTGTTATTTATCATGTTTATTGTTTACTTACTCAACTTATGCCTCATTTTATATATTTTGTTAATACAACCACTCAACTTGTACTACATGGAGAGAGAGAGAGAGAGTATTATATCCAATTTATTTCAGAATATATTCAAATATTTACAAATGCCCACAAAACATATCGTCAAATACCTACAAATACCTACATAATATTCCGGTATGTGTAGATATTTGTTGGTAATTGGTGGTATTTGTAACCACTCACGTATGCACCCTCTATTGAGTTCCCAGAAATACCTGAAAATATCTAAAAATACCTGAAATACCAGCAAATACCTTCAAATACCGACACACCTGGTTACAGCGAGGCCAAAAGGTCACCTCTAGTTCTTCTGGCTGTTGATGTACACTGTACAGACACACAGTCACTTTCAAATAATCCAGTAATTAAGGAGGGGCATGGGGTGCAGGTGGGCATTTGAAAAATGTACAATTCATCAGGGGATGAATTCATTCCCACATTTCCCTCTCTATAATTGGACCTTGCCATTCTATTGCCGTTTTTCGCTTAATGTTTTACATCTCGTCCTAATAAGTCGCGTCAAGCCTTCATTGAGATAATATGTTTAATTATCTAGTGTCGGATTCAGTCGTTACGAAGTGGACCATTATAAATAAAACGTGCAATAGACAATATGATTTGAGGGTTCCAAACTTGAAACACCCTGTATGGTTAATTATCTAGTGTCGGATTCTCTCTCTCTCAGTCGTTATGAAGATTGAAGTGGACGATTATAAGTTGCATCTTAGGATCTGGTTCATGGTCTGGTGGCATGTTTTTGTGACAGACCACTTTTATTCCCAATGACTTTGACTTTCGAACAATCCAACTGATGCTTCAATATTTCATCCTTTGCAGTTTTGGATTTCTTAAAATTTTGCATTAAATTTTCTGTTATTTCAAAATACGAAATTTATACTTTGTCTCTTTTTTTATAATTCTTAATATTTTTGACAAATTCTGCCTACCTAGGTAAAGTGACGAATGCGACGGGGGTAAAGGCGGTAATGCCGGAACATGTGTCCAACAGCCACAACATCTCTTCAAAGAACAATGCTGATGATCTAGTTGAGGCTGAGGAGGGCGAGGAGGCTGAGGAGGAAAGTTGCTCCGAGGTTAGTGATGTTTTCATTTTACCCAAAATCTCCAAGGTCTGTAATGTGTTATTATTGAGTGATTGTAAAGCGATAATCTCAATCTCAACCCATAAACTAGAGCGATAATTATCTACCAGCAACTCAGAGCGATAATTATTATATCTACCAACATCTCAGAGCGATAACAGCGATGCTTTCTGTTCTGCTGACGAGGAGTTTGACGAAGTAGACGGTCCCCCTAAACCCCCTGTAGTAGTGTTAGAAAGTGTACCCAGCAAAGAAATACTTGCCTTACAGGTTTATATTACTATCTGGTATAATTAAACTAGCCAGTTCTCGGGCAGGGCACCACAGTTATTTAATAAAATCACATGTTGGTCATTTTGTGGGACACCTTGTAAATAAAATAATAGAAAAACGCAGTACGCACATGATTAATGCAACTTTTTTAATTAATGCCACGGAAGGTAAGATGTCTTAGATTTTGCCCCAAAAAATCAACCGTAAAAATTGTTTTAAAAATAGAATTCAACGATTTTTGATTCGCAAGTCGTATCCCCTGTTGAGCTTTTTAATTATAAAAACACCCAGTTCGATTTTTTTACGATTCTTTACCTCCCAACCAGTAATCAAGTTTTTATTTTAATTAAAAATTGTTCGAAACATATGGAATAGTGAAGCAGGATTAACCGCGCATTAATCACGATCGTCAAGCTGCGCAAAACCGTATAACACACGAACGATTCCATTTTGCTCGGACATATTTTAATATGTATGGTTTATTAGTACACAATTTAACATATTATTGTGTCACAGTAAAGCAAGTTTTACCGAACATTTATCACGCCTCATCCACACAGAAAGTATCAAACAACGAACTGGACGCGTACAACAGTTACTACGACGGGGGCGACGATGAAGGGGATGTTGTTATTGATATGAGCAACAACAGTGTTATCACTCATCTTCTCAGTCAGGTATTTGAATTGTGACGTCATCAATTAGGTGTATTGTTAGTGATGTTATTATTTGGGTGTTCAACTTCGTGGTAGACAGGAGTTTTGCTTGTCCACACTTAAAATTTGTAAGCCACATTTGGAGAAAGGAAATGGCTAAGGTCAATCGGGGTTTGCTATAAAACGGTTAATCAGTAAATCAGGGTATAGTGTGATATATACTTAAACGCAATATAAAACTCTCGGATAAACGCTGTTCATGAACTTTAAGTTTACAGATCTATGCGTAAGCAGAACAACTGTATCGTACTCTGTGTTACCACTACCGACTCTAGTCACGTGACGGTGAGGTCACTAATCTTTAACCTGTCATCCAGCCCAAAATTTTAGACCTGTCACGTGACCAGAAATCCTATTCCAACACCACGTGACAGATCTGATTGCACGTGCGGTGTTGAGAACATGTCAAGGAGATGTCAGGATAGCTAGGCTATCTGACCCTTCCTGGGATGTTCAGGTCTGCTCGGCGATGATTGGAAGTAATTACCCAATCGGACACACTGCACGTGTATTGACAACTATCTAGGAATACTATCTGCACATATCACGTACATGTATACCCTAACATACCCAAATAACCTCCGTCTCCTCACACAGGTACGTATTGGGATGGATCTAACCAGGATCCCGCTCCCTACGTTCATCCTAGAAAAGCGGTCCCTGCTGGAGATGTACGCAGAGTTCCTTGCCCACCCCGACATATTTGTAGACATCGCGAAGCGTCCCACGCCCAAGGACCGCATGATTTCCGCGGTTCGGTGGTACCTGTCTGCGTTCCACGCTGGTCGACGTGGCAGTGTTGCTAAGAAGCCTTATAATCCCGTTCTAGGAGAATCTTTCAAATGTTATTTTGATGTACCGGGCATGTTGGATGGAGACCAGAACGCCCCCATTGTAAAAGAAGGCCCCTGTCCGTGGGCTAAAAGCAGCAGTAGTCTGGTGTTTATAGCCGAACAGGTGTCCCATCACCCGCCCATATCTGCCTTCTACGTAGAACATCCTGACCACAATATTGAGGTTAACGCCAGTATCTGGACCAAGTCCAAGTTTTTAGGACTCTCAATCGGGGTGCACATGGTGGGAGACACGGTACTGAAACTGCTGGACCACGACGAGGAATACCATATAACCTTCCCTAACGGGTACGGCCGGAGCATCCTGACCAGGCCCTGGGTGGAACTGGGTGGTAAGTGTAATATCACCTGTCCTCAGACCGGCTTCAATGCAGAGATAGAGTTCTTGTGTAAACCGTTTTACGGGGGGAGCCGGCACACTTTGACCGGGTCTATAAGTCACGTGGCCCAGAGCAAACCCTTCTGTAAACTATCTGGAGAGTGGAACAATGTTATGTTCGCAGAGTTCGAGGGAGGGGAGAAGGAGGTGTTTGTGGATATCCACTCCATACCCATTATAAAGAAGCTGTGCATGCCCATCAGCCAAATGGGCGAGTGGGAATCAAGGCGGTTGTGGCGTCACGTGACCAAGGCGTTGTTCGATAACGATGTGGATGTGGCCAGTAACGAGAAGTTCAAAATAGAGGAACACCAGCGGGATTTGAGGAAGTATAGGGAGGAAACGGGAGAGGTCCACGAACAGTCTCTCTTCCATAAAGAAGGAGATAATTGGTTATTTAATTGTCCTTTGAGCAAGAGGAAGGGGTTATAGTTTTTACTTGATTGAGAATTAATTAATTGATGATAATGCTATAATATGTCATTGTATTATATTAATTCTTTGGTATTAATTTAGTTTTTCTAAGATAGCGTTTATGATTTGATAGCGATACTCTAGTGAACATGTTCCTACTTAGTTTTTACCGAATATATTATGACATGTGCCCTGAGTAATAATAATTGTATTGGCATAGTTTTCCCTCGTGTTCCTTAGTCTTCTGGATATGATATAGATATTATAGATCTAGAATCTCATAAATCTAGAATATTATAAATCTAGAGTCTTCTAAATCTGGAAATTGTTGCTCTCGATTCTGATCTAGATTAAATGTCATATTAATTAATATCCTACAGATCTGTCGATTGTGGATCTATTATTTTACATAATTCAAGGCTGCTATTGTTGGGAGAGCAGTGCACTTCTGCTTTTGACTTGGACAACACTTTTGACTTAATGTAAAACATCATTTTTGAGAACCAATTTTATCTAATTAAAGCAAAGATGATCTGTGATGCGGGCATAGATAGATGACAAATAACCGATCTTTTCCGAATTACATATTTGGTTACATATTTTACATATTTTTGAACAACCTTTAAACTCCCAGGCTCAATTCCTTATAATCGAATGAAAATATTCTAGACGTCTCTGGGTGATATAATTCACCGAGTTTAAAATCTAGATTGTGGTCTAGAATATGATCTAGTCTAGAAGGTTCCGATTTGGTGTTTTACAGAATCAATGCAGCTATTCAAGTTCACGACCTACAAGTGCTTCAATATGGAGAGGCATTCAATCCAGAACCTACACTACATTGTTATTTAACCTTGTGGTAGACACTGAACATCTATACCGTGTTGCTCTGAGCTTGTAGCAGTGGTCACCATACACTCATTTGGGACTCGGTGTATGTCATGAGCTATGAGTTGTATATTCCTATGAGCTGTCTCTGAGCATTGTCTCTTCACCAACATTAACCACTGGCCGAGTTTTAGAGATCAAGTTTCTTAACATTAGCCTTGGTTCCCCCGTTATATTATAATGTCAATGTAAGTTATGTAAAATGTCCATATTAAGGGATGCTGTGTACCAGATTTATAATACCAGAATATCGACTTTTCAGGCGAGGCCTTTTTCTGGCTGAAAACATGCCAAGTTTTGACCAATTGTAATGTACATATTATAATATATTTTGGGAATTAGTGCTAATTTTGAAGGCAAGATATTATTACCGTTAAGATCATTTTATTAAGATCGAGAAAATGTGTGATGTTATGTAATAAGCTGATGCGACATTGAAATTGTAATGTAATTGTTCGATTCCTGACAGAGTTTGAATCAGTGTAATCTTTGTCGTTTTATTTCAGTCCGATTTACGTCACAATATAATTACATAATATTGAATGTCAACTTTTGTATATTTTAAAAATATCTGCACAATATAAGTACATTATCTAATTGACACACACTCGTAAACGTGCAATCTCGCATGTTTTTAATTGTTGAAATTCCACATCACCCTGCATACCTACATTGCGTCAGGTTTATTATTTGTCGCCGTACAATTCACAATTCCAGAGCCTAAGCACGAGATTGGGTGACAATCCAAACCTCTCTCTCTCAGCTCCACATAGAGTGTCTCATTATCCGGGGAATTATATATTACTTTATGGTTTCTTACTTTTGTATTCAAACTAAAACTGTAGTGACATTTCACAACCTGCTAGAATAAACCCATTGTCCGTGTCCCTCGTGTGTCCCTCCGCAATTTCCCGCCCAAAACAGTTCACTGCCTAAGTGACGGTTTGTGTCTCGTATTGAATTTCACTGGTGGGGAGTCGGAGACGACACCCTACATTGACCTTTTCACACTTCACAACACCAGTTTCATTAGTGTCCGGTTCACCTAACGACACTAAATCTAATATCTCTCAACGAGTGGCCTGAGTCTGGCCGTTTAATACGGGAGACTGGTTTATAGCTGAATATATGTAAGTAGGAGGTCATTTACCTGGATATGAAACAGACCTGATACAGAAGAACACTTGTTGGCACTAGTCCAGGGAATCGGGTCACGTGTTCTCGTCTTCCTATTGGCACATCACCTAATACACCTCCAGCTATTCAATATGATTACATCACAAACATATTGCAGGATATGGATGCTAGTTATTATATGCTTATTATCTGTTTTATGGTTCCTTGATTCGCCCAATGTCTCTTACTAGGGCGTTCTCCTATGCTAATTATCTACTTCCTTCTCCTCGCCCAAAAGGTCGCACGTGCATATTCGGTTGTCCTGGTGCTGGCGAAAGTGCGAGCACGTGGTCTTTGTAACCCAAACAGTATAGACAAATCAATGGTGCGCTGTGCTGTGTTCTGATTAATTTACTTGTTACGACGTCTCCGCTGAGTGAGCTGGACCTGCTATATACAACTATAGCTAGTACACTCTCTCTTTCTCTCTAGCTCTCTCTCTCTCGCTTGCTCTCTCTCTCTCTCTCTCTCTCTCTCTCTCTCTCTCTCTCTCTCTCTCTCTCTCTCCCGCGTTTCTTGCACGTGACCGTATTCAGTAATATTATCAAATTATACGAGAAATATTCAACAGTTTTGCATAAATATCCATGGATATGTATGCGCTCTTTCAGACTGGTGCTTATGCTGTAGTTTACTTTGTCTAGATCTGATCAAGAGCAGATTTGCTAACTCTCCCAATCAAACCCACTTTCGGACAACTTTATGTGGTTTTGTCGCAATTGCCTCTCTCTCATCCTCAGCTTTGCTGCCTGTGATGATGGTGATGGGATTGGATTGGATTTACTCTTTCTTGGCAAGATATCAACCCATCCTTTCTCCCTATCTCTATTTCTCTGCCTGGCAGTGCATTGGTCAGTCGGCACGTCGCATCGTATTGCTATACTTGTGTTGCAATATATCCCCTGATTACTGATAATCCGATAAAATATCATCTGATTCTGACTCGGTGAGTGTAACTTCTTTCCTTTAATAATTATATTCTATCTATCATACCATCTTAGATGATAATAATATGTTAAGTATGTTAGAAGGTGTGGGAAATATGTAAAATATATGAAGCTAATGAGCGTGGTCTGCGGCAGCAGCTCAGGTGGGCCCCGAGGGCGGCAAGTACCAAAGAGACCTCACGACACACACTCACCATACAGTTCTTTTAAATATTTTCTCTTATTTTACTTGGTTTCTTTTTTAGTTCCCGGATTCCATGCGGTCAGCTCCCCGTTTAGTCCTCACATACTAATTTATATGTGTAGTCACAGCAACCGAGTGTAGTAGAATAACTCGGTAACCCACCGCGACCGTACCTGCAATTAGTACAGTGCGGCCGGATTAGAACCGCAGTTTATGAAATTATGCTTGCAGAATGTAATCATATGATACGGTAATGTAATGATATAACACCAGATATCAGGTATCTAGCCTCACTGATAGTTGTGTCCCTTTGTTCACTTCCTTTTTAGCCGACACGTGAATTTTATTCAATCAGCTATATTTTTGTTTCAAGCCCTAGTACATGTCGTTATTTTTCAGTTTCTTAATTAACACCTTAATTTTCAATTACTCACTGTCATCACTTCAATACCTCTTCTAACTTTTGCTTACTTAATTTTCACAACGCTGGTCATGTCATTATAGCACGTAGACTATAAAACGCTCAATAAATGCCAATAATTACGTGAATTAAGAGTTAAGACACGGCTCTCTCAGATATAAGATATGTAAAATAGACGAACAGTCACATTAAAAACTTTAAATTAAATTGAACAATAAAATCTAGCATAATCAGAATAAAACACCCTCTCTTTACTCTTAATCCCTCTTCTAACATTACAGCTGATCATGGCTATGAGAGAGAACGTGATTTATTGGAGAATGTTCCTCAAGAAAGGTATAGTATGGATCAGATTGTGTTATCCTCAGCTGAGGTAATTATCACTAATATGACCATGGGACACCATAATTTATTCTCAACTGACTATTGTTCACCTGTAAGAACGATTCATTGTGTTTCGAAAAATTTGATCATTGCGTTCCTGCTCTGTGCCCAATGAGAACCATGGTAATAAATAGAGTACGCGCGGTATCGTAGAAGATGTTTTCTTATTTCGTTCGTACTGCAACCGAGATTTGCCTTTCTTCGTTTGATAATAGTTTTACTCGAATTTGTTGCTGCTCTTGCAGTGCCAGTTGAAAACTCAATTTTGAGAATTTCAATTAATTTGGTCTCCGACCTGATTTTAATTAATTCGGTCTCCAAATTTGAGCTGAACGAGTAAGTTCTAGTTGTAGCAAGAGAGTTAATTCCAAGGAAAATTATAGTTCATAAACCTAGTCACTTTACAGGACAGGGAATTATTGAATTGAAACTATTGAAAGTTAAATATTTAATAACAGTTACAGAGTCAACGTTCAGACTTCAAGTCCATTTTAATTGTTAATTGGACCGGGTAAATAGTTGCAGTTTCACTACTGAGCAGTTCCTAAGTTCCTACTTAAAATAATTTGTTCCAATATCCGGCAGTCTGTTCCGGGTGTCAGCTACTTTCTAGTGAGTTATACTTGATTTCTCTTTTTGTATTAGTTTTTCCTGGATAGGCGACTAGGCTCTAAACTTTTTTTTTGAAGGTACCGCTCCCAACGGTCAATGTGTAAAATTATTATATACAATACAATTTGAAAATATAAAGATAATATCAACACATATTACTAGTCCATCCTGGTATGAGGTTGATGTCGCTGTTCGTGTCGTCGCACCATTGGACTGCTCTTCCTCTGTGTCCTCGGATGGCGGCGAGGGTTGTGCGGAGGATTGAGAAGCGGAGTTTTCGGCGTATGTGAGAAATCGTATCACTATAGGGTGTTCCCCTTTTGTTTGATATGAGTGTTGCGATTCTCTTATGGAAAGCTTCAGCCTCTTTCCCCATGCTTCCGCTAGTGGAGAAAACGAGGGGTGTAAATCTGCTTTTCTCCACTTCCAGGACCCGGCTGTTATATGTTCGTTTCTTTTCAGGCTCTAAACTGTACAAGATAACCAAGAGCACATTTCACTTTTCAGTCAATATTGAGATCATTAATTAATATAATAATAATATCTAAGATCCGATCATTCAATAATACCTGACTCGAACTACTGTTGTAACAGTGCCATGATAAAGGCAAGGCTTCTTCATCACCGCTGTTGCACCTCTTATTTCCTAAGGTTTTTCCTGCAGCATTTAACGTTCCGCAATATTTCTTATGGACTACGTTCATTTCATCACATGAACATCTATAAATCTAGAAACTGTATTAACTATCGTTTTTTTAATTAATTTATAGAAGCTATTGGCATGATGGTTTTGCACCACCTCATTAAATGGTATTGATGCTAATACTTGGTTTGAACACGTTGACTAATAACAGATTTCTCTTTGGATTCGGATTAGATTTTAGTAGTACCGCTGATCTGACATTATCTACATTGTAATTTAGATCTTTTATGTAAAACTTGTAAGACTTAACGGCCTTATTACTAGAGCAACTCCCAAGATATAAACTAGAGAAACTCCCAAGAAATATCATTTTTGCCTAAATAAACGTTTTCTTTAAAAAGAATCTGTTTACCGTGCTTACCATGTTACATCTTTCAGAAACACGAATGGTCTTCATCCGAAATTCCACGGAATGCAGCTTGCCTTCCACGACCATGTACACCGTTTACAGTGTATAACAATTATAAAACTCTCGCCGGACTGGAATTCTCTGCATAATAAAATATCCACTAACATGGAATATTATATAAATATGCTCGGAAAACTCATTATCATATTACGCATAGTAAGGCGGCCGCGGCTTGCTCTTTTATAATCGCGAATCTTGTTGAGGCATAATTTCTTTCTCGTTACACCAAACGTTAAATATCACATTATTTCAGTCATTGTTAATTACAGTTGATCCCACCAGAGAACGATAAGGTGTGTATTAACTTTCGAACGTGTAATCATTATGGCAGCGTTTCTATGTGGAACTAGAACTTGACCTTGGTGCAACATTATTATATCTAAACTTTATTGGTCCTTACTTCCTTTGAAATATGTGTTCTGACCTTTCCCGGTACGTGTTATCGAGTTGCTTCTCCCATAATATATCGCATTAGAGGGAATTTCTATATATCTATCTATAGATCTACATGCTAAGGATGCAAATGGAAGCTGTGCACTACCATATAAGGAAGTCTCGAATGACCATATAAGGAAGTCCTTTGTTCGCGTGCATGATTTGTTAGTCCCGTTTTGTTGTTGAGCTGCAGCTAGGTCTCACAACCACCTATCTTGAGGAGTAACGGATGTATTGTGTGGCGAGACCGTCATATTTTATAATACGTTCTTTCTTTCCGCTTTTTTGCGAATTTATTCATGTATTGTGTACAATTGTTGCATTGTTTTCAGTTTTATGCAAGGCAAATCTCGGTTGTTGTGAATGTGATATTGTTTTTTATTGCAATCCGTATCGATCGCTTTTCTTACGGATGTGATTTTGCGGATGCCGTTTTCGTCCATTTTACTCATACAACACTTCTGCATTCCTATATTGCATTCTTGACCCTGAAACCTAGATCAGACAATAGACATCAAACAACAACATTGAATCATCCAAATTAAATAATAAATCTTGTTACCATCTAAAACTTACACCATTAATCATCTTACTCCTCCATCAACATGACTTTTATAAACGTGTGTACTTTACTATCCCTCATAAACACTGTCATACTCCTTCATAAAAAACCTTATCAATATCCTCATTGAGAATAACTTTACGTGTAACTCCGTGTCTATATATTTCATGAAAATCTGCTTTAGTAGATTATAGCCGAACAACCGATGTCGAATTCCAATGTTGAGATATGCCAAGTAGCTTATGAGGGGAGGACCTCATGGATGGAAGCGTTGCTCAAAGCAAACCCCCGGCTCTTATCTGTTACAGATCAGGTGATGCAAAATGTGCCACAAACTATCTAAACTATGTGTGTGGAATAACAGGTGTCAGTATTACTAGGCCCCAGAACCACCAAGGGGTTTATACCCGGCGAGGCCCCCGGGTATAATAATTTCTGGGTTGGTTCAACCAACAAAACCATTTCTTGTTTTAATTCTTCTTAATTTGCTAAAGTTACGTAAGGTCCGCTTCACATCACCCACATAAAGCATGTTATCACCACAATTAATGGGCTTAGCAACGTGGTGTTAATAGTAAAAGGTTTCTCATAAAATCTTACGAAATTCCTCTCACCTAAAGTAATCATCTTAAACTAAACAATTCCTACATTCCCAGTTCCACCAACAACAAATCATGAAAATACACACTCTGTCTTTTCATGTACGTTTCATGAAACAATTGCTTTATAGATTATAGCCGATGTCGAATGTTGAGATATGCCAGGTGGCGTATGAAGGCCGCATTTCGCGGCTCAAGGCCCTGCTCGAAACAAATCCCAAACTCATATCTGTTGCGGATCAGGTAATTACAAAGACCTGCTAAATATAGGCTATATTATAGGCTATAGTGACACTGTAACTATATTATAGGCTATATATAGCTCTACTAGTTCATGCCCTTTGTACTGGATGGGGCAACAACTGATCAGACCTACACACTAAAAATAAGAAACGTATGCACATGTGATTTTGAGGAGATGAGCTGATAGCGTCTGGATTCTGTGGCATCTGTCAAAGCCTGGAGTTGCTTGATCTTTGTTAGGCCTTGATTGGAAAGATGGTCCCAAGATAGTTAATTTAATTGGGGAAACTTGTCGTGATAGTTTTGGCGGGAAAAAGATCGAGTTCAAGATTTAAATCCTAAAGATTGTTCTTAAGTGTTTTACTGATACTTTAGTAGTAAAACAGTTTCATAAAACATATAACCCCGCCCTCTTTGCTTTCTACACTTTTTGTGTTCTAGACAATATTATAGCAATATGTAAACAGAGTCCAACCACCATCGCTATCAGCTATCTAATAAGTTAGCTATCATGTCTGGAACATTCCAGCTAACATTCTTACCGAGTTGTGTTGCCCCGTCTTGTACATAAACTTTCTACCATATAATATATGCATGAAGGTTTACTAATCTCTAGAGGCATGTTTCATACTTGCCTTTTCATACAATACCTCTTGCTTTTTCAAAATCTTACATTTATAATTCTTACTTTTTTAATTTTTTAATGACCTTGGATTCGTAATCTATCTCCAAAAAAATGGCCCGAAATTAGCGCTGTACTATGAATATGCGCCATGTCGTGGATTTTGCCTGTGAAAATTCTTTCAACTTTGGGAGCTGAAGATAGGCCGAACAAAAAAGGCCCGAAATATAACACCTCGTTTCAGAACTGCAGACAACCCCTTCATTGGGCCTGTTCGGGTGGCCACCGGGACGTTGTAGCCTTCATCCTCAACTGCTGCCTGGCTATCGAGGGAACTATTGACGTGAATACTCCAGATGATGTAAGATATTTAAAGTATTTAAACGTTTGTGTTTTCAATAAATGATGATATTGCCGGCGGGACAGCCACGCCCATTTTTGGTCCCAATTATGCCAAATTCACCTTAACATGCTCAAAACCCAGATTTTAGGTGCTCTACTTGTAGCTAGTGGTTCACTGAACTCGTAGTCCGGAACCCCCTCAAAAGTTCGGTCACAGGCCCTAGTTTGTTGGTCAATTGCTATCTCCAAATCAAATTTCACAAAAAAATCAGGGTGAACCCCCCCCCCCCCCCCCCCCCTTAAGGGATAAACTGTTATTGCTAGATATTACGTAACTCCTAAGTATAATAAGTCTAGATTATGATAAAATAGCTGCTTTAATTTCGGTCACGTCCGTCTCGAGGTAGTTGCTAATTTGATGAGTTTTATACTGCTGCTGGAGCTCAAATTAATGAGCTGGCTACTTTCCCAACTTACTTCAGCAGTCCTAGTTACTCTACATAATTTCTATCTGAGTGGAAAATATACTCGTTATAATATAATCGGGGTGTTTCGTACATTTTTATAATTATGTATGGCAAATTTGTAACATGATATTTTACCATGAAATTTATATGATGCATTTCTTAGATAGTCACATTGAAAATATCTGGCATTTGTTCAAAATTGTGTCTTATTTGTCAAGGAATCGTTGGGGCTATAATTATACAGACCAAACCCAGAATTATGAAGTTTTGCTTTTTACATTTCCAAACACGCGCTTTTAATTTCAGTCCCGAAAAGGACTGGTTAGTGGTTATTACTCCGATGGAGAATGTGTTGAATGTGTTTTCTATCCCTAGGTCACTGATTAAACAGAAGGCGGATAGAAACTATCCTAGAATTAGCTAACCAGCCAATGATCACTCCTCCACTTTTTACCGGAGCTACTGCTAATAGGGTAATTAACTAATTACCTAATTAACATAATATAATACAGGCAGAGTACACGCCACTGCACATAGCAACCAGCTCGGGGCACCTCCACATTGTGATACTGCTGATCCAGACTGGGTACTGTGATGTTAACTCTATAACGAACCAGGACCAGACTGCTCTCTACTTTGCTGCCAGCAAAAACTGGATCGAGGTAAATTAGTTTAAATTAGTTTCAGTCGTGTAATTGTCGGTGATTTGAGCATGGAAGGTAGATAAATCGTGCACTGATAATTTGATTTTCTGTTAATAGCATTTGATGTAATTGGTATTTCATGTTGCAACCTGTCATTTACATAGAACACTGTTAATTGGAGTGTTCCGCAAGAATTAATCACAAAAACATCGTACAGAAAAGTTTTAGACTGACTTATCCAATATCCATGTTACCAGTGCGCTGATTAACACAGTGTCGCTTTTAAATCCCAGCACATATCTGCGTAACAAATCAGAAACATTAAACAGGGATTGAAATTTGAGCCACGTTTCTTGGAATTGAATTGTAACAAAGGTCACCATACTTATTTCACTTCAGATAAGTGAAGTTCTTCTGGCGTCACATGCTGACCCCAACATTTGCAACAACCTTAGATCCACCCCACTTCACAAGGCCGCTCAGAAGTAAGTTTTAACGGTTCCTAAAGATATTCAGTTACTTATTTTGTGTACTTAAAACATATAGTAAATAAATTGATCGTAGCAAGTCAGCCAGTTCGTATGATTTCGTCAGTAATCGTTTGTGTAAAATAATGAAAATGATCGCAGAGAGCATATACAGATAGTGAAAATGTTGCTTGATACTGGAGCCCACATCAACGCTAAAGATATAGACGGAAACACTCCGCTGTAAGTTATTTGTTTTATCGATATTATAGTTACTAAATATTACAAATATTATCTTTTATCTCAGAAGAGTAACATAAAACGAGCAACTACTCAAACTTACTTAAAAGTACAGTAGTTAATTAGTTAGTTAGTTAGTTAGTTAGTTAGTTAGTTAGTTAGTTAGTTAGTTAGTTAGTTAGTTAGTTAGTTAGTTAGTTAGTTAGTTAGTTAGTTAGTTAGTTAGTTAGTTACATAGTTTATATTTCAGGCACTTAGCCTGTGAGGCAAATCATATTAGGACGATAAACTTTTTGATTGAAAGAGATGCAAAAACGGATGTCCTCAACAAGGTTTGTTATTTATTTCAGATGGTTTCTGATCCATGTCGCTTCTGTATATCTATTTAGCTGACTAGCTCCTTATCGAAAGCTTAATTTCCGCCAGTGAGAACGACCCATTCGAAACTAGTGCAAGCACAGTCAACTCAGCACATGACGGAAACCACGCCGCGCGCGCATTCGACTTTCAATGCTCACAACTTTCTCTCTTTATTGCGCGCATTCTGTGATGAAAGTAACTAGCGTGAACATTCTTTCACGTGATTCCGTTACGTACATGCATTACCCGACTATTTGTTATTATTATATTGGCTCCGTATGACATTGGGTGATCAACTGATCATAGAATATCACCTTAGAATGAGTTCATACAACGGACCCTGTGACTACCATCATATTATCATTGTGAAGGAGTGCTTGTGCGTCAAAGATAAACCCAGACTCATAAAAATTGGCAGATGTTTTGATTATTTGCACATGGTTGTCCCTAATTCGTGGACCACGCGCGTTTTTTGCATGCGTGATATCTTTATATCTTTCTCTTGTCTAATCGTACGTGTAACTCGGTATAATACTGTAATGTCTGCACAGTTAAACTTAAGGCATAGCATGGCATCGTGGGCTCTTTTATGTCTAAGAAAATGTTATTCATGTCATAATAAGCCTTGGTCGCGTGGGCTCCCGGGTAATGAGGAAGCAGGAGACGAACTTGGTAATTTGCAGTTACTCGTGTCACATGTGCATAGTGCTACTAAGGTTAACAATCTGCTAGCCTCAAGTAAATTCCCAGTTGAAGTCAGATTAGACCCCAAAACCGACCACTTGCAATTCAATTTCCCTGAATGATCCCTCGAAATAATAAGTGTATAAATATGCCATATATGCCATCAGTACAGATGTCAACTGTTATATCTCAAATATCCGATGGTTTAATCATTGAGACTTTCATTCAACCATGGGCTAACATTTAACTTGTTGTAACCTTTATCCTAGCTGGGGAAGAAGCCGCTGGACCTGTGTAATCCCACTATCAGAGGAATGGTGATGAACAACATTGGCAACATCCACAACTGAAAATCTCACTAGGCATTCGGCTGGGTTTGTTACATTTTATTGTCCATCTTTTCCACAACTTTCATAGAGATTAAAAGTCCAGGGAGATTAAAGTGTGAAATTTGGGAGACTTTTTCCCCGTTATGATTAAATTCCTATCGTGTATTTATTCGTAACTACTCCTCAGAAATGCGATAACTGACGAAGGAAAGGAGCTAAAGTTTGCAAGATGGACTGACCATTTGACCATCTGTCTCAGAAGAAGGCCGCGTGGAATTCACATTATACTCTCTGAATTCCATTTATATTGCTTCCGAGTCACAAGTTTGTGACGAAAATATATTCTCATTGTAACCGCACCAAGTATCGGGACCTACCCCTCCCCTGTAGAATATTTATTGTATTACCCGTATTTTGTGTTGAGAATATGAAGCAATTTTCCGCAATTTGAAGCCCTCATCAAGCTGGTTAATTTTTATATTTATTATTTTAATCAGAGATTGACTTATGAAGATTGTTATTATAAATGGATGGAGTGTGGCAAAATATCGGTTAAATTATAATATTTTAATACGGTAGTTTTCTACGGTCTAGTAGTGTTTTAAACATTGTTATCTAAGACTACTTAGAGGGAAATATTAATAGTTATTGTTTGCGATTTGGGACAATACTCGACTAACAACATTCCTTACACCTTATACTGATAGTTGGCCGAGACCCCATTCAGTGCTCATAACCCCACCTTAAGTTAGCTGACTGCTAGTATTGCCGTGAAACTGTGGCAGTGGTGTTGCAGGCGACAGCCTAACATGTTTGTTCCCTGGTCGAGTATTGTCCCTAAAGTCTGGATATTGTTTCTTGCAGAAATTTTCAGATGCAGGTGGCCTGGCAGCCAGGAGGAAAACCTGTTCATTGTTTTAAAATACCTCCGTGTAAGTGTAGGTTACGTGCGTTAAGCCCATCTTGATTAAAGTTCATTTTATTGCTGATTTATTTTCCGCTGATTGTTAAATGATTTGGTCATGGTTTTCGGCATAAGTATTTCGTTATTCTCACCTTTTTTATCGCATTCTTGATACGCAGGTTGAGGTTATGTCAAGAACTCTTAGTCGTTTCCAATCTCGATTTGAAGATGCAATTTTTGTTACAACTGGATAATGTGGGCTAACAGAGTGAGGCTGGTTGCGCTTGACATTCTCTCCTACAAGACTTTGAAATTTTACAAAACTTCACCCTGACACGAGGTCACTAAATCCATAATTGCATACTTGAATATATGAAATACAAGCCGAACTTGCGGCAATTGCGACTGATGATTAGTTGATTACGGCGTAAAAAACGTGATCAAGCTAACTTAATTCAACATGAACAACTAAAGGAATTTCCCTAGAATTTAAAACTTATGTTGGTCACTAAATTGCTGTACGGAGAAAATGGCTGGCCTCCAGTTTCAGGATATCTTAATCTATTTTTGGGCAACTAGCGGCGTTTGAAAGCATACATATATCGACTGCCTCAACTCTTCAGGTGCCCTTCACTTACACGTGCGGTATTTTACCATTTTCTGGCGGCAGTAGACTATAATTGTTTTACTCCCTCAAGTTGTTTGGAATTCCTGTTTATAGATATTTGGAATTCTTCTTAGGATTTTACCCTCAGTCATCAGTGAAGCTACCCCGTGGCAGCGGTTGCTGGGAATTCTTATCTGTTTTTTTCTTTCTTAGCACTCCCGATACGGAATGTATGAATCTCCAGCTATCAAGCTTAGGAGGTCGAGATTTGATTTTGTTGAAGTTTTTAGCTTTGGATGATCGTGCTCTAAGCATTGTTCTGGCTAAGAATATGTTCTATTAGTTGAACACTTTGGACTGTAAGTGTCTTGTCACGTTTTTATGTGTTCCTTGGTGTTTCCTCTGTATAACATTTTGCACTGTCCAAATTATTTAGACGTTTTGAGACTGAGAAACATCTTACTTCTGACCAATGATTTCTTCGTCAATCGATCTGCAGTAGGTACTAAAATATGGAACATCCCACTTCAAAAACTAGATGAAAAATGTCATTTAGTTAAATATGGTCTTTCCAGATGTTCCTTTAGAGTTATAAAAACTTTAGATATGTACATATTAGTCCACAATCCACATCGGCCTTATCTGTTTTAATCTAACTATTCTTCAAATCTGATGCATTTATCCTTAGTTTTAAAAGACCTCATAGGTAACAAAACGCAGAACAACATTTATTTCCATATTTCATGGCAGAAACTTTGAAATCAAACTTGATTTTAAAAGATGGAAAGAAGTTTGATGTTTTCAGTAAAGTAATTTATAGTAAAAATCGCTTTAACCAGTATTTATTTGAGAAGATATTGTTTTTATTCGACCATTCGGTCAAAAGACTGCTGATTTTTAAGACTTGTTATGAATGTAAAAGAGTTGATTGATTTCATGCAGAACAATTGTTATCTTAAAAATACTGATTTACATTATTTACCCCGCAATACGATGCTTTTTACAGTCTTAAGTTGATAAGTGCTGGTAAGGCATTTCTGTTTATAACATTATTATAATGGAGATAATTTTATTGTAGACCTTGATTTGGATTTCCAAATTGTCGCGAGAGATATATGTGACCGTTATATGTCCAACAACGCGATACATCCGTATTGATTTAAGTTTTTAAATCTTCTAATTCTTTTAGTATGAGAGTCTCTTGTATTATTTTAAAAATCCATTATGTTTTGGAATTTTGCAAGCTCACCCATGATCGGCGGCGTTAGTTGTACTTGTATTAGCATTTAAAGCAATGTCTTAAACCCAGATTCACTTATTTGGTGACTGGTGTTTAATGTATCGCTTTATTATTTTCAAGCGTTTAATTCTATACTTCTATGATTAATGATGATGAATTTTACATTTTAGCCTTGAACCGCATATTAGGTTTCACAAAAAGTCAGATTTGTGACAATTTTTGAGTGCCGCGTAACTCTCGGAGAGCTTGTATTTCCCATAAATCTTTAGGTATTTTGTCTTTAATTGGATATTGTGGTCGGTTTTGATTGTAGATCTGTTCAAGAAATGGGATTGTTTCTATAATTGCGGATCGTTATAGTTAGTCTCTTAAAGTTGGATTCTAATTTTAATCTCAAACATTCGTTTCTCTGATTCGTTTGAAACTTGCACTTCGACGTACGAATTCCTTGTCATATGTTGTATGACCCGCCGCGCACGAGTGCGCGGCTCCCCTGTATCGTTGAAACTATACAGTAGTGAAACGACATTGGGGGTCACGACGTGATTGGTGATACAACGAATTCCCTGGCACGCCAATAAATCCACAGTTCCTCACAGGATGACTGGAGTGCAAAGAAGCTGCCGCTGTCGCGCGCGTGCCCTGAGCAGCAGTTTCTTTGCACTAAAGTCCTCTGCGCGGCTTGGGCACTCTTTTCGAGCTTTTTTACACTTGTATGTTAATAGACTTTGCTCCACACTGTGGGTCCGCCCGCATGACGAGTCATATTGTGGCTTTCGTCACAGTAATCCTGGCCTAAAATATGAAATTACGGGGCGCGGGCGGCACATAGCCATGTGTCTACGCGTTCGGCGGTCGCGCGCTACTGCAAGCGAGAGGGCTTTGGTTAGAGCAAGGCGGCGCTCAGTTTTTCATTATGTCATATCTTCAATCTTAAAGCAATTGATAATGTTTTGAATCAGTACGTTGCGACCCTCACGGTCACTATGGTGAAACCCCCTGTATCGTCCTGACGATACAGGGGGAGCCGCGCACTTCGTGCGCGGCGGGTCATACAACGTATGACAAATAATGTTTATGAACACCGCAAAGTGATATGAACACCGCAAAGTGATATATGAGCACTGCAATGATATGAAACTGAAATCCCAGCTCCATGTCCATGTTTTACTTGTATCACTTGTTTGATTGACGATGTCAATCCGTCGAGATCGTTGCTCTGCGAAGCAGAGCAACGATCGTCGACGAAGCAAGAATGCTAGTTTGGCGAAGCAAGAATGCTAGTTTGCGCGGCGCGTCGAAGCGGCGAAGTCCTCCAAATCACTTGTACATCACGTCGTGACCCCCACGGTCGTTTCACTTATATACTACCCTGTAATAGAGTTTCTATGATACAGGGGAGCTGCGCACTCGTGCGCGGCGGGCCTTTATACGTTACAAAAACTTCGTTAAATTGGTTAAACGCACCATTGGTATATATGGTACGTGACTGGGCCGCTCGGATGGATTGACATCATTAATCAATATTATGACCATATAAAGAAGTTTTTCGTTAGGGTTAAGATTTTAGCATATGCTTTAAATATGGATTCATGATTGGGATCAAACTAGATCGAGGGTTAAAGTTAGAATAATGATTAATCACTTTACTATACTCTACTAAACACTCGACTAGACTTAAAACTGTCACGTGACTTTTTTAACACGTCCTCTAGGTTGTACAAGTTATTTTAAAATTGAAGCGAAGCTCATGTTCCAGTATTTACTTGTATTTGATTTTAGGTCTCCTCAATCATTCGAGTGGCCTGCACCAATTTGATTGACGATGTCAATCCGTCGAGATCGTTGCTCTGCTCTGCGACGATGCGAAGCAAGAATGCTAGTTTGCGCGGCGCGTCGAAGCGGCGAAGTCCTCCAAGCACCAATGAACTCCCGTTTGTGACGTATTAGTGCTTTTCATTCAAACAAGTAAAAACGAATCTTTTATGTCATGTTTCCAGGGTTTGGACTGCAGAATTGCCCGCTTAAAGAACTGCCATCGCATTACATTACATAATTTTCTCAATAAATGTAATAGATTTGTAGTGTTGTAATTAGTTTAAAATCATCTCCCTACAAAGTTTGCGGTCACTAGCCATCATGTTCCAGTATTTAACTAAAATTCAAAATAAATTTGTATTGTTTTCAGTCAAATTGATGGTTTCGTTTGTGTTATCTACAATCTATCTGCTCTCGTTTTATTTACTTGATTCACCTAACCATGTGCTTTCGCGCCTCTTCGGGCGCGTTACTGCAAGTGCCCGAATTTTAGTTCTACCATTCGTATTTTTGAAACTTGTATTTTAAGAAGGCGTTTGATAGCATTCATAGGGGTATATTGATGAAGATACTCCTGGCATATGGGATACCAGAGCCCATTGTTAGGCTGATAGATGCTATGTACAAGGACACCATGGCACGAGTCATCACGGAGGATGGTCTGACTGAAGCTTTCCTTATACTTGCTGGAGTTATGCAGGGACACTGGCGCCCTACCTCTTCGTGATTGTCATTGACTATGTGATGACAACAGCACTTATAGGCAAAGATCTGGGCTTCACTGTCAACCCCAGAAGAAGCAGGAGATACCCAGCAGTTAAGATGACAGATGTCGACTTTGCTGACGATCTTGCACTGACAACAGACACCGCAGAGCAAGCGCAAGATCTTCTCCTCAGTGTGGAGCTGGCTGCTAACTCCGTTGGACTTCACCTCAACGAGAGTAAGACGAAGTACATCAGAGTCAATCTCTCTGAGTCTGACTCTACCGTCATTAAAGCAGCAAGTGGGCAGGAGAGCAAGTAGATGACTTTGTCTACCTTGGAAGCAGAATAATGAGTGCGGAGAAGGACTTTGATGTTAGGAAAGCAAAGGCATGGGGGGCCTGTCATCAGTTAAAGACAACCTGGAAGTCTGGAATGCGCAGGGACTTAAAGATCCGTGTCTTTCGAGCAACGGTTGAGCCCGTACTCCTGTACGGCTCTGAAGCTTGGACGATAAGCCAATCCATGACTAAGCGGATCAATGGATGCTACACTAGAATGCTCCGGATGGCCTTGAACATACGTTGGCCACAAATCATCAACAACAGTGATTTATACGGCAACATCCCCAAGCCATCAGCGATGATAGCCTCCAGAAGAATGAGACTGGCTGGACATGTAGCCAGGCATGACGACCTTCTGGCAAACCAACTTCTGTTCTGGGACCCTCAGCATGGACACAGGAGACCGGGGAGGCCCCACCTTACGTTTCTGGACGTGCTAAAGAAGGACACCAGCCTTTCCTGTGTTGAAGAGATAAGATCTGTTATGCTTGACCGCGACGTGTGGCGAGGAATTGTAGTTGCTCGGACCAAGAAGCCGACTTAAGTCAGTAAGTCAGTAAGTCGAAACTTGTATGTATATGGTAAGCTTTAAAATGGTTTTGCTGATTCACTGGACTTAACTCCTATTATATCAAGGCAATTAACAGCAGTGAGGCAGGACTTTTTCATCATTTTTCTATTCAATGTATTGTGAAATGTGGTTTATAGATGCACTCCATCATTTCTAAATATTAGATCGATCCTAGCGCTCAGTCAGGTAACGAAATTCGATCAAATTTTACACACAATCTTATTAGACAGCTACATAATTGATGCACCCTGTGTACTTTTCCAATGATTCAACTCCTGAGGAAGAAACTGGACATGTTGAATCATCAGCATTCATGTTTTATGGTTCCTTATTTGGTGAGTACATGCAAGCATTTCAATGGATGGTAAAAGATTAGGTATTCTCTCAACAATATTGGTGTTATTTGAGGAGTCCTCACTCTCCTCACGTCCAAAAATGGCGTTTCTCTTGTCGCTAATATGATTGAACATAATATTCTCGGTATTGAGAGGTTTGACTGTATATTATCAATGAAAAAAGAAATTTAAAAAACACATTTAATACACAAGGTCCAGCCATTGACCTTAGTGTTGAGTTTGCATGCAGCAACCACAATGATATGGTAGCAGAACCTCCTCTGCAAATCGAGGGGAACTCAGCCATTTTCAACTGGTTTGGAGACCACACAATTATTCATGTAAGTGAAACAAATTTTGAGATCAGAATCATATTTCTTGTTGTTTGTTTATCATTTACCCAACGACTAAATAAATTAAATTCACACCCAGGATCAGTCAAAATACATTTGTAAGACGTGCTACCTGCAACTTTACAAGACTTACTCTCAAGGTACGTCTATTATAATCAAAAAGATAATGGTTAAGTTTATAATGTTATGGTTTGAGTCCTGAATAATGGTGATGAAGTAATAGCTGAATTAAGCTGAAATATGAAAAGAAAACGACCATTTTAATGTCTTTTCGAATTTTTCAGGAAGTGAGAAGTCAAGTCCTCAGGGATATAAGATAACATTTGAAATTTTATCACAAAAAATAGTTTCTGGTAATGAGGAGAGTTTCATAAAATATTTTGGGAACAAATCTGCAGTGAACAAAAAATCGGTAATTAGATTTATCAAAAGTTTGAAATATTCAATTTTGCTTTAAAAGGCATGTTGGGTATAGTAAAGGGTTTATTTTCTCATGCATAGGTGAATTTGTATAACAGCTCAATAAATGCTCCTAATGATATTTAAAATTCACAGCTTCTTACTGAGAGTGATGAGGCTGGATTAGCATTGCTCCATTACTCAGTCCTCGCCAAAGAGAACAGTCAAATTACCAAGTGAGACACCATTGTGTTAGTACATATCCGATCAGTTTAGTTAAAGTGACGATTGCCTCCATCTTTCGGTTTCAGCTTAACTCTCTAGGCCCTAGGTCATGAATAGAACCGAAGGATCAAAATGTATGTTGCTTGTTGCTCGTATTAACTTAATAATACAAATGTGCATCACCTCTGTATCCTGCTGAGCAGAACCTCCATGTAAAAGTAAACAAATGTACCTCACCTCCCCACGAGAATCCACATCTATAGGATAGTACCTGACAATATTTATCTCTGACGGTTTATTTTCATTTTCTTGACCTTTAACACAGTCTGCAGATGATGTTTCTCATCCAGGTATCTGATTGAAGAAGGAGCAAGAGTAGACACAAAAGACCACTGTGGTGTATCACCATTACATTGGGCCTGTTGGAATGCAGATGTGGACACTATTGAAATACTTTTGGATAATCAATGCAATGTTTTCTCTCGCGATGTTACTGGTTTAGATCTGTCAATCGTTTTTTATCTTGAATTATGTACGGTCTAGTTGGCATACATTATGCAAATTACATAATAACTTTTTCCATGTATTTCTTTCAAGATACATTATAATTTGTCATGGAAGGATTTTCTTCAGGAAGACTACCTTTACACTATTTGTGCCTCTCCCAAAATACGAAAACCAAAGAACAATCAATGAAGCTGCTATCTGAATACCGCGGTTTCTCTGAGTGCTCCACAGTGCAGGACTTAGCTGGGTGCACACCACTCCACTACGCTACTCTGTCTCGTTCTTACCCATGTGTATGTGCAGTCTTATTACTTTTGTGCAATGAGAAATTGGTGCGGTGAAAAACGTTGTTATTTATAAATAATAGTCAGATCTATGAGACTTGATTAAGAGATCTTCTGAACAGGTTTCTTTGTTGCTTTCTCACGGATCAGATCCAAACTGTTCTGCCACCACCACTCTGACTATCAGCACTTCACCTGCCTCTCTGTCTCCCTACTCCGGTGACTGCAGGTAGCCCCCAACTTCTTTTATTTGCACTTACTTTAGGTTCTTTATATATAGCAAATAGTGAGTTATTTAACGAAATTTATCATAGCTGTCCTTATCCAGGAATTCTAAGTTTCAACTTTCAACTTTACCATCACTATTATGAAGTAAGAATATAATTTCACAATCTACCTGTGACTAGAAAAGGAACTTCCCATTGTAGAAATAAGACTAAGTACAACAAGCTTAACTAACTGTGATTCCAGGCTTGTTAGCTTGTTCAAACCTCGTGACAAAGTGATGGCAGCTCTGGTTGGAGGAGGAGACGTGTCTAATCTAAAAGGTTGTCATTCGTTGTTTTTCGTTGTTTAATTTTATCAAAAATAATCTCTAAAACAAAGCGTTGAATCTTCATCAAAGCAGGAAGAATATGTTGAAGCAGTTTAGGCATTAATTGACTATTTTTGAGAAGCATGGTAGCCATCTGGTATTTTAAATCAATTGATAATTATATACTTAAATGTATTTCATTAATCGTTAGGGAGAGAGTTACATAACAAGCCCAAGCTACAAGCATTATTGCATACTTATAGAAAGACATGGAAGCGATTTTATCTAACCGTCGACTGTCAAGGGTACGAAATACGCATCATATAGACGGAAGCCTTATTCTTTAATTTACAAGTTGATCAACAGAAAGTAAGTAATTTCCCGCAATATCAAGAAGAAATATATTTGGTAAACCCTGATTTGCATTCCTTTTGTACTTTTTAAACAGCAATTTGAAATCGCACACTAAACAGACCGAATGGTCATACCTTAGACTGATATATTATCATTTTCAACATCATTTTTCGTTTTCAGGAGATGAGAGTGATGATCGAGATGGACTGTCGTTTCTACATCTCGCTGCTCTTCTTGGTTAGTACTTTAGTAAGGGTTTAGTTAGGGGCTACCTCTATTTTACCTTTAGAGTATTTAACATTAAACCAGGTATATAATTATTGTGATTTGTGTATTACATTACCATTTACTTCAAGTCCAAAATATAGATTCTAATCTAGAAACCTAGAAACCTAGAAACCTAGAATTTAGGTGAGCTAATAACTTAATAAGATGATTAGCACATTTGTCTAGAGTACATAGAGTACATAGAGTACATATAGTACATAGAGTACATATAGTACATATAGTACACAGAGTACCATAGAGTACATATAGAGTACATAGAGTACATATAGCGTACATATAGAGTACATATCGTTATCGTCGTGATTTTTTACTTTCACGAATTATATTGTCTAATGAGCTTCAGGGCAATTTAAGTCCAAATCGTTGGGAAGTACCATGAACCCACCGTTAAATCGACCGGAAGATACAAGAACAGTATATACTTGCTGTGGTATCATGTTCTTATTTTATCAAACAAAAATTTACCGATACTCAATCTCGAGCAGTTTTTAAAATGTTTTTACATATTTACCTCCAACTTCATAAGTTATTCGTGAAACTCAATACCACCATCAATGTGTCTACCAGTGATCAATTGAGATTTTAGTGCTATAAGTATGTGATATTTAGTTCTATAAACCTACTGCTCTCTGACATTATGTCAGTCTCAAATGGTATCTTTGACTCATAAGATAGTTTGACATCATGGTTCGACACTAAAAACGAGGCATCTTTTTTTTTTCAAACGAAGAAAATAAATTTCGCAATACAAAATTATCAGTAAAAATAGAATAAAAACTGAAACAATCCAACTGACCAACATAGCCTCTTCAATGATCAAGTAATCACGTGTTCACTAATTAAGGATTGGTCACCACTTTATAAACGTAATCAAATAATTTCTGTGAAAGGTGGAAGAGAAAATATCGAAAAAGAAACTCTGATCAAAATATCAAAAGTTAATAGGAAATTCTTCCATGCCACTCATTTAAAAAAGTTGAGATTAAAGCAAATATTTATCATTGTCTATCAGGGAGAACGGATCAAGTAGTGGCGTTGTTAGAAGATGAAAACAAAGATCTTCCAGATGCTCGAGCTAAGAGAACGCCCCTCATTTGGGCGGTGGTTGGCGATCACCCTGACACAGTCCGTGAAAAATACAGACTATATTATTAAAACTTAATTATTAATTAAAATAACTTAGCTAGTTGATAAGTAATCGTGAGTGCTTCTCTGTATAACCAAGAAACCAGTTAAAGCGCTAATATACATCACAATATTGCGTGGAATGCTTTATAAGGCTCAAAATAAGTTTTAAAATAAGTACTAAAATAATTAAAAACATATTAAAAACAATAATCTTGATTCACCAATATTATAATTTAAAACATTAAAAATGGTAATATTTAAAAAATAGCATAACTGATAACAATCACTTAACGCTCAGGTGTATTACCTACTGAAACAAGGATGTGATCCGACCTTGGCAGATAAATATGGCAGACGAGCACTCTGCTATGTGTTGTCCCATGGCTGGAACAATATTCTGAGGTACAGCACACAATATATTAACATATTTATTGCCATCCTAGATAATATGTTCACTCATTTAGTCCGGATATCGTTAAGTCACACAATCAACAAATTTCATGAATTTCCACACACATTTCTGCTACTTATTATCATGAATTTCCACACACATTTCAGTTACTTAATTTCATCAGATGCATTCCAATGAATATGTGTTTAATATTCAACGGACGTCTGCGAATTCTGTATCGAGAACTCAGTTCTTGGCTCGGTAAATTCGGAGGTTTCCTCAGAGTACTCTTTGAAGAACGCCAGCAGAGCTTGAAACTGGATCCTCTCATCGGGGGTGTCTGCCCAACATTTCAGCAACACTTCCCATAAACCCTGCAAGATATTTAATTAAATACAGGGTGGGCCAAAAGTCATTGGGCATACGTTGGCCTTAACAGCTCAGCTTCACTGCGTGCCCAATTGAAATAATTCTTTCTGGTATGACTTACTACCACCACTGGTTCGGGGAATTTGTCAAATCGAAAAATATTCGAGTTAATTTTTTCAAAGATATTTAAACACTTTACTTCCCACAAACCCTGCAAGATATTTAATTAATATAATTGATTAATAATTATAATTATAGTCTTGATGATGATGATGCTGTTTTAGCTAATTTTGGTCACCTTCCTTCTGGCTGACCATTTACGCGAGTATCCAGTTGGAAGCTCCCTATTCGCCAATTACACTTGTAGTGTCGTGGAAGCTTTGAACGTTATGGAAATTAAAGAACCCCGAATGTCAATCCGTATTTTTAAAATGTGTACTCACGTCCGGACAGAGATGAGGTCGGTCGAGACGCTCTCCCTTACAAATGTTAACCATGACTTGCTGGTTAGTAAGATGCTGGTACGGCAGAGCACCAAATGAGAATACCTGGGTGGTAATAGTGATCAAATGGAGGAGTTCTTTTAATAAATCTATTTAGTATCAATACTAACATTGGTGGACATGATTGTTCTGAGTATGTGTATAATTAGTAGTATAGGTATAATACTAACTGCAGAACTATCACAATGCTCAAAAGACAAACCTCCCATGCCAGAATTCCGAATGCCCAAACGTCATTAGCAGTAGTGTATCTTCCATAGGTTAGAGCTTCTGGTGCCATCCACTTGATCGGCACCATCCCTCCTTCCTGATATTGGATACAAATTATTAGCAAATCAGAGTGTAGAGTACAAGCTATTAAGATAGGTTACTTATAACTATTTTATCATCATTACCACCTCATTTGTTATTATAAGACATAATGTTTAAAAGTTATCACAAAACCTACCTTCTTATAATAATTCTTATCGTTGGCGGATGTGTCTCTGGACAAACCAAAGTCTGCTAGCTTCACTTGTAGGTTCTTTCCGACCAAGCAGTTCCTCGCGCTGACGTCTCTGTGCACCATATTATTGGTGGCAAGGTATTCCAGCGCATCACACGGCTGGGAGTAATCAGTAATATCGTTACAAAATGCCATTACATATTATGCATTATGTTAAGTATAATCATTTTGGGACATTTTAATTTGGAATATACACCAAGTTACATAAATTAACATAAATTAACTATACCTGCTGGCACATCCAGGCAAGCTGTCCTACACTCAGACCTCCCAGTGGTTCCTCCTGCAGTTGAGGGAAGGTTAATTAAAGGAAAATAAATAAACCTGTTTACTTAGTGATTAGCAAAAATTCTAATTTATGGCAGATTGGTGTTCAGTTTTAATTGCTCTTGATAACACCATTTTCCTACCCTGGATGGAGCAAATTGATTGAGGTAGCTGTTAAGCTGTCCGTTCTCCATGTACTCCATGATTATGTAGAAGGGCAGGGTCAGAGCACAGATTCCCAACAAGTTGACGATGTTTCTGTGTTTCAACGTCACCATCACCTCCATCTCCTTCTCAAAATCAAGCAGTGCCGAGACCTCTATTCCTGGACAGAAAAGTGTGATGTATTAGAGACCGTAGAGACCCTGTATTAGAGACCGTAGAGACCCTCATGGCCGAAACAGTTAGCAAAATGGAGTGTCTCCGAAAAATGTGTGATATTTAATTTAGAATTATTAGAACCTTGTTCTTTGATCGTCTTAATGGCGACGGGTTGGATGATCCCGAATTCATTCGGCATCTGTCCCAACAAGACCAATCCAAAGTTTCCCTCGCCAAGTGTTTGCTTTATTTGTATTTTCGACTTATCTTTTTCCCACGCTGAGTGCTTTTTCTTAATCTGAAAATTTGTTGTTGCAAAACCATTCAGTGATGATATTTTGCGGTTGAGCAAATGTGCAAATTAATAATAGTACTGTGAAATAAGGGCTGCGCGACAGTTCTGTTACTTTCATTAGATACTCATTACTGTTCTTTTGTATGGCACAAATATAAACACTGTACACCACTAAACCCAGTTCTCACCCGGTCCATGATGCTGTTAACTGTCTCCATGGCCAACAAGAACGCATCAGCTGCTACCCTGTCTCCGTCGAAGTCATTGGATGTTTGTCTTGCTGCCATTATAGCGTTCCGTGTCTCCACCATCCGGATACTCTGAAGTTAGTGAAATTCAGAGGATATTTTATAATAATCTCGCCAAAATCCCACCTGAATCCTACGGATACTACTACAAGTACGCATTGGTGGGGATCGGTTATCTGTTATTGCTCTAAAAGGTAATCTATAAAGATAAATTTTATGAAACAATATCACTAGCCCTGCACGATAAATGAGCATTTGGACCGTTTGATAAACAACATAAGTCATGCTTTAACAGATTTCGCCAATAGGGTCGATCTTTCAGGTGATATCGTAATGAAATTGTGAACAAACGTTTGCATTGAATTCTGGCGCAGTTTTTGATGTCCTCGAAAATGTCCTAAGCCAAAATTTAACTTTTGTTTTATTAACTTTTGTTTTATTAACTTTTGTTTTATTAACTTTTGTTTTATTAACTGGAAAGGTTTTTGGACCTCAAAGTCACAAAACAAATTAAGGCATATTTTTTCGTTTTTCTGATGTTTTATTTTCTATTGTAATTACAATAACTAATGCTCCTGTAAATACTGTAATTAATTGTTTGTTCCGTTATTCTTTTTCCTTCCCCTTTTCCTTGTCATCCCCTTTAGTTTTAAGATTCTTGCTATAAATGGCTACAGCTAACACTATTAATGCTAAGTACCAAACAACAAGTGGGAGGTGGATCGTTGGTATACCGTTAAATCGATTTAACACCGTAATTCCAGTCGCAAGCCTGGGACCACTACTAGCATTGTTACAACATCTACAAAGCTGCCATATAGCCTGACTGACAATTTTCTCGACTGACTGACAATGTTTCTTCTTTTCCCCATTTAGAATACAAAGATTAGTACATTTTAGCTTATGATTAATATTATATTTTTACCTATAGTTTACCTAGATTTGATAGGAATGTGCTAGAGATGTCTGGACCATCTGCTTCTGCCAAAGGGCTTTTATTAACCTCAGTTACTGTAGATTTAAACCTGCACTTACCTGTAACCTGTAGTTTGTTCACTTACCACGGCTAAAGATGACCTGAGCTTCTTTCTCCTCCACAAGAAGAAAACAGTTAAGCCGACAGTCAGAAGAAGGATTACCACTCCTGCGGCTATCCCTCCATCTCGTAGACTGTAATCCACTGGGAGTAACCCCACTTTAGCCTCCCCAATATCCTGCTTCGGGTGGTAAATAAACGTCTCCGTGCAGAAGAAAGTGTAATCTATCCTTGATTTGAATCTGCCGTCGTCATCTGTAGTGAAATTTATGACCGAATGGAGATCTTTTACTGATTCATGGACATTATAGTTGAGTCCTGCTACTGTTGTTTTATCACGTTCTATCATAACATTTAACCCATCTTCAGTCTTCCTCATTTCCCATCTTAGAACCTTCAATGCCCTTATTGAATCAGTTTTGCAGGTCAAAGCAAATGATTCACCGATAGTGACAAGAGACTTCTGAGGGGATATTGTATAGTTGTGTAATTCGTCCACTCTACGAAGTGTTTTATTCAACGATACCAGCTTCGCTCCAGTCGTGAGACTGTTGACACAGGTGAACTGTGCTCCATTGTGGGATTCGTAGTGGAGGATGCCCACGAATTTCATTACATTTTTCTCTGAGTCATGTTCCTTGACGTATTCTTCATCTCTTCGTGTTCCATTAACCATCAGTGATATGTTTTGAACCGTTAATTTTACCCAGCTTTTGCAATTTTCTTTATATTCCTTCTTCAGCTGACAATCTAGTTGAAGTTTTCCCTTTTCATCAAAATGATCATGTGTCATCTCTATGTCGTATATCTCGTAGGAATTTCCCTGCTGAAGGTTTGGAACGTCCCCCTCACTGTTACAAGCAGAGTCTGGCAGCTCCTCAGCCGAGCGTTTACCAATGTGCTCATGGTGAGAGATTAAAACTGTTCTAAAGGTGTCGTACAATGGTGTTGATGTACTTGAAGCTGGCGAGTGTGGCGATGAGCTGGTCGTTGAAGTCTGGTCCTGTGATGTACCAGTGTGTGAGGCTGTTTTTACATGCTCCGTGGCAAGACTTGATGTAGACATCACGCTAGAGCTTGTTGTGGTCATTTTTTCGGTGGGCACTTTATTTGATGGGCTTTCTGAGGTGCTTTTCTTTGTCATATCGTTGCTTGGGGAAGGACTTGTTGGGACTTTATTCGGGGAACTTGTGCTGGTACCATATCTACCGGTGGTAGGTGAAGTCTGGTCTCTCTCAATCGCTTCAGCTGATATCGCAAGAAATACGCATGATATCATAAATAATAATCTTAGTACGGAACGTTTCCGACCCCATTCCATCTGCATGTATTATATAGAGTCAGACACAAATTTATCTTTGTGATTAACCGATTTAAGATTTGCTCAAAGTACGTTGATTTCTGTTCAGTAATTTGAAAATGAGATTTATTTGATAATTATGAATACAATATACCGGATTTCGGAAGAAAACCAAGGTTTAGGCAACAAAATGTGTACGTGGAAACTGCAAGGTTGCAAGAAAATGTACAACTAACCGCAAGGAATGACCAAGTAAAACTATACAGAAATACACTGAGGGATAAAACGACTCTGGAAACATTTCAAGCTACTCATTTACAATTTTGTACGTAAAATTTCGATACCTTAATCCCTCCTATAAGAATACTTAAATTCTTAATAATACAATAATAATACCACTGCAATATATAGAAGTAACTACTAAACTATTGTGAAAATTTGGTGGTCGTTAAAGAAAGCATGACAGGAAGTTCTTTGGCAGTGATCTGATTGGGTGTCAGCACTCCTACGTGGGGTGTTCGGTGTACACTATATTATATAATACATTATACGCTATACCTAGGTACGCCCGTCTGCTCAGGTACAAGTTGAAGAAACTGAAAGAATCCCGTAGCTGGGAATGAAAGAATGAACGGCTGCAGATAGGACGAAGATTTGGACCAGCTGTCTTTCAAATTTCTCATTACAAGCGACTGGCTTGGTGCTCTTATACACTGAGCTATGGACATGATATCACAAGAGGCAGATGACGATAAAACGAATAGTTAGTCTATCCACGCCCAACCTGACAATACTCAGGTTACATATACTCCAGTAGCAGGGAGGGATTGAGTGTGCACTTCACTGTACAGAGTTTTTTGCGAAGTGCACACTCAACCCCTCCCTGCTACTGCAGTAATAGCGTCTCTCAGTAACCTGAGCATTGTTAATTGTAATAATTAAGTGGTTATCGCATGGTCGCGTGCACACGAGTATTACCTTGCTTTTCTGACATGGTGGTGTCCTTTGCGTAATGTATTCGTAATTTCCAGATCTGTATTATTAATTTTGATACGTTTTGACATTTTGCGTTTGAGTGTTTATTTACTTCATGAGATACGAAGTTCTCATTTTATTTTAGGTGTTTTGTGCATCCACTGACTTGGCCTCTAATATTAGTCATCCTCTACATGATGTTGATGGTGTGTTCAATATACTTGTCGAGAGATCGATTTATTATATGGAATGGATAATAAATTTTACACTGAAAATTCGGTTGCTTTGCGCCTCTTCTGACTCGGGTACATTAGAGCTTTAGAGGTAGACACTTTTATTTTAGAAAAAATCGAAGTTTTCTTTTATACTTACCACTGCCAGAGAAGACTTGAGGTTTCTTCTCCTCCGCAAAAGAGCTATAAGGATGATAGCCATGGCTAGAATTGATGCTCCCCCTCCAATCGCCACATTCTGCAAACTGTTATCTTCTGGGTGAATAGTCACTTTAGCCACTCCAAGGTACAGCTGTGACTTTGAGTGATAATTGGGATCCATTACACAATTGAAAGTGTAATCCAGACTTGACGTCATTCTTCCGAGGTTCACTGACGTGACAATTAGTACCGAATAAAGGTTATCTACAGATTTACGAATCACATGGTTGAGTCCTGCGACTGTTTTTCCGTTAAGCATAACGTAAGATCCTTCATCTTTAATCCTTGTTTTCCATCTAAGTGCATTTAAGCCCCTTACTGAATCAGTTTTACAAGTTAAAGCAAAAGATTCACCGATGGTCACTTGTGATGCCTCAGGGGTTATTGTATACTTATGCAATTCATCCAATCTAAGTAAAGTTTTATTCCAAGACAGAAGCTTAGCTCCAGATCGTGAATCAGAGACACAGGAGTAATTAGCCTTGTAATGGAATTCATATGCTAGTGTGTCCGTGAATTTCATGATATTACCCTCTGAGACATGTTCCCTGGTGAACTCTCCACCTTGTCTTGTCCCGTTCACCTCGAGTGATATGTTTTCAACAGTTGACTTTAACCAGCCTTTGCATTTTTCATATTCCTTCTTAAGTTTGCAGGTCACTTCCAGAGTGGTATACTCATCATAGTTATCGTGTACAATATTTACACTGTAAATATTGTACGACCCTCCCTGTTCGAGCCCCGCTAGGACCTCAAATTCACTGTCACAAGCTCCGTCTGGTAAATCTTTCATCTCAGTGGACCCTGCTCCAATTTGCTCATGGTATTCAATTAACACTGTCCTGAAGGTGTCGTGTGGTGATGTTGTCCATAGTGTTGTGATGGTCGGCCAGGTCGGCGAGGTCTGGTCCCCTTTTGGGTCGGTTTTTCGGGTCCCAGCTGTTGTGATACTTCCGTTCTCTGTTGTTGTGAGTAGCCTTGCTTTGGAAACTTTATCAATAGGAGTTATCTCTGGTGTTACAACATTATTTCTTATTGTTGTAACTTCGTTGCTCTGGGTGGTTGTTGATGATGTTAGCTCTGTGGCTTCTGTTGGTGAACTCGAGCTGGGGGCATCAGCCTTGGGTGAAATCATCGGGTCTTTGACAACGGCTTTAGCAAAAAGCACAGCAAATAAGCTATATATCACAAACGTCGATCGAACCAGTTCCATCCCTCTTTCTGCTCCATGAAACATACCGTCAAACACTAATTTAACAATTGCCCCAATTTTTCACGAGCAAATTTGAACTCCGATTAAGCAGACAAGTGTCTGTCCAGCAAAAGG